ACGGCCAGCTGGCCAGCGGGGCCTGCGCTCCGCCGCCTTCCACCGTGACCGGCGGGCAAGAAGGGAGCACCGTTTCACTTCCTTGCAGCTGAGAAGGCTCCTCGTCCTCCAGCACCTTGGGTAAGTCACCTTTTCCCTTCTCTCTTGCTGGAGACGAGCCGAGGGCTCTGCCATCTTGTGTTGGTGCCCGTTACGTTGCCTTCCCCTAATTGGTTATCCGAAATTCAAAATTCTATTTCAGAGCCAGCCCCCCCCCCCCCAGCCTCCGTGAAGTCAGTCCCTCCGGAAGCTGCAGGGAGATGCAGAAGCCAAGCCCGTTTATTTCTGAGGCCCCCAGCTCTAGGCTGCGGGAAGCACAATTAACACGAATGTTATTTCACAGTAGCTGCATGTTCGGTTATGTGAACGAACGTTTCAGGAGGAATTAATAGGCACGGCCTCCTCTTCCATGTCCGTTTCTGCCATTATGATTATTTTAAATTTTGGCAGTGCCGGGAGTGGCCCAGGGAGAGCCCCCAGAACCACCCGAGCCCCTCCCGGTGAACTCCCGGCAGGCAGGGCCGGGCTGGCACACAGAGGGGGACGGGACTCGAGAGACAGAGCCCCTTTTATTTTCTCCGGCGTCCTTAAAGCTGCCATGTCCACAGTGCAAGGATCCAGTTCTTTCTCCCTTTCATTTTATTTTATTTTTTGAAAAAAGAAAAAAAAAAAAGAAAGAAAGCAGTTTTTGACTCGGAGCTCATTGTGGGAAAAGTCTGCTAGTTTGGGGCTTTATGTTTTAGGTGCTCACTCGCATGTTGGGGGGCTCTGCCTGGCTCAGAACCACCGGGCCCGCCGACGGTGTGTGGGCTGCCCAGGCGCTCGTCCACCAGACAGACCCCTGGGGGGCCCTGCCTGGCCCCAATCCCGCCCGGGGCTCCCACCAGCAGAGCGGTGGCCGAGCCACCCAGCGGTCGAGGGCCTGAACCGTGGCTGGTGGGGGGTGGGAGTCCCTCAGAAACCTGTGTGTTCCAGCGAACATGCCGCCGCCCGTCCGAGGGCGGGACCCCGGGGCTGCCTGAGTTTCTCTGTGGGTCCCTGACCCTTCAGAGTGGCCGAAGCTTTTTCCCGTAAAAGGTGGGCTTTGCAAAGTTCAGCCCTGAGTTCACCTCTGCCCCGGGGCAGTCTGACAAAAGCCTGGCCCACAGACTCAGGCTGGCTTCCCCCGAGGTTCCGGGTGGCCGGGATCTTGATTTATGGAAAATGGAAAATCAGCCCCAGAAAGTTCTAGACTGCAACTAAGAAGAAAATCCCCACGTACACACATCTTTGTCTCTCTCATTCAGGGGTGTGCGGGGCCCCGTGAGCGCGGCCCGAGCAGCTGGCGGGAGCAGACCGCACCAAATATTAAGACCGAGCTCAGCCCACACGGGGAGCAAGGGCGGCCGCTTTTGTTCCGAGATCAGACGGCCGTGGACCCTGGAGGGCTCGGGGCTGCAGCGACGGGCGGACGTGGCAGAGATAATTAAAACGTTTTTGCGATGTGACAGCCACATTCTGCTGCTGCGGTCCCTTCCACCCAAATATTTAACAAGCACCAGAGAGAACGCTGGGGACAAAAGGAAAGGAGGAGGGAGAACAGGGAGCAATAAATGTTGAAGGCGAAGGAGCCCAGAGTGTAGAGAGGGAGGGGGTTTGGCCGGGGTTTGGCGGGGAGGTAACCATTTTTTAAATAATTTATGCTTTTAATAGCTGCCTACTTCTCATCTTTTTTTTTTTTTTTGTATAATTAACATAGGTGAAACAGACTTTTAATGCTAAATTCTGGGATGATAGGTAGTTAAATTTCCTGAGTATTAACTTGTCTTCTTTTTGGACAAGGTGGGGCAAGTAGCGTAAAATCAATTAATTTCCATAAATTAGCATTTTCATTCTAAATTAGTATTTTCCACCAAGATTATGTCCGTGTGAAGGTTTTAATGTTCACGGAAGCCCCTCTCCCAGCGTGTGCTTTGTCTTGCTGGATGGTTTGTATGTAATCAATTACTGTCTCGGCTTTTTAACTTGGGTAAAATCAGTAAAATTTACTTCTTCCCCAAATCAGTGAAATTCCACAGAATCGTGGGGTTTTTTTTTAATCAGGCAAAATATCAGTATTCTCCACGGCACATGGCAATTCTCAGCAGGACTTTTTTTTTTTTTTTTAAGAAAGTACTATGCACAGCAGTTTTCCCATCACGGCTTCTATGTAAATTCCACTATAGGCTGAAATTATACATTCTCGCAGACAGATGGGCTGGTCTGTCATTACGGCTGCCGGCCCTTGTTGGAACACACGGCGTATTTCAATGGTGGAGTCGACAATTTCGGAGAACTGAGGTCACCATAAACAAGCCGCGTCTGCGTGTGGAAACAGCCTCCCTGAACGTTCTTCTCGCTCCCGAAAAATCCCAGAGAGGAGCACGGCCACCTTCCTTAGAATTTTGTTCTGTCTGTTGGTCTTTTGAGACTTTAAGTGGCCTCCATTTGCCAAACGACCTGAAAGGTTTTAGCTAATGACCAATTTTTATTTTGTTTTGCAGCATGAGCAGCGTGACCCTAGATTTAAATTCAAAACTGTGGGGTTTGGACATTTGAGTTTTGTATCTTTAGTACCTTCTCTGTAGGACAGACATTAAATATCCAGGAATTGTATATGCAGACGCACATAAAATTATTTCGAGACTTGTATGAAAAAGCAGTTGATTGATATTTTGCACCATCTAAAGCTACTTTTGAATCCAAACTAAAAAAAAAAAGAAAAAGAAAACTCCAGCAGGTAAACTGCACGGAGTAGCCATAAACTTAAAAAGAATTATCTCACAAGATAACAAAGCGCACCGTTTATGGGTCCTCGCGGCCAGTCGGGAGGGCAGAGTGGTTTTACAGCCACGATAATTTGCCAGTGATGGAGAACTGTTTATTTTGTGAATTTGCTTGCAGAACAGTGTCATCGGCTCCGAGGGGTCTTCTCCCTCCTCCTCCTCCTCCTCCTCCTCAAGTGTTTGCTTGTGCACTTCTGAATTCTGGATTCCTTTCCTCGTTCCCAGCCTCGGTGGCTGCTGGGCTGGGGTGGCGGGCGGCCGAGTCTGCCAGGCAAGGGGCGCACTTCCCTCTGCTGCGGCGGCGCCACCGCCGCCCCCACCCCCACCCCCCACCGGGGGGTCCCACAAGTGTTGGGCTGCGGCTGGTTTTCAGGAACGTACCTGTTGGTGGAGACCCTGGGGAATGAAAGGAAAAGTGAGAAGCTGCCACTATTTGCCAGCACTGCTGGGAGCTGATCTCCCAGGTTTCCAACCACTCCCAGTGGTCTGGTGGCCTGTTGACTCCTGTCTTGGCATCTGGACTGGATTTACCAGCGGCGCCGTCCAGGACGGTGGCCTGGGTCTGGGGGCGCTCAAAGGTTAGGCCCCGTGAAGTGGCCTGGCCCATCTGGGTCTGTCTCAGAGGGGTGGGGGTCACCGTGAGGGCGGTCGCGGAGGCAGTGATAAGAGACTGTGCCTGGGAGCCCTCCCCAAGCCAGGCATCTTCTGCCTTCAGAAGAGCAGAGAGCAGACTGGCTCTGAGGCCAGGACTCCAATGGGGCCCTGTCTCCGCCCAGGCCGTGCCGCTCAGGGGTGAGTTTTGCCTCTCTGGGCCTCAGTTTCCTTGGCCGTGCAGTGGGGAGTAGGCGCCCCTGCCTCGCAGTAACACATGTGTGAAGAAGCACTTAAAGGCGCATGCTTGGTTCATGCAGACCCCTCAGGAGCACCTGGAAGTGGGGGCTGCCCTCACCGCCACTCCCCAGGGGCCGACTGAGTTGCCCAGAATCAACCAGCTGCTGAGGGATCAGATTCAAACCTGGGCCTGCCGTCCTCCAGAGCCCAAGTTTTGCTCTGTGTTCACTTGTGTGTGCACACACGAGTGTGCACACGGCAGCCAGATGTGGACAGCGTGCTCCACACCATGGTGTGTGCGTGGAACACACGTGGGCAGACACACCCGCAGGTGTCCCACGCTCCTGGGCACGTGGGCGGTTTCCAGAGGTGGGTGGGTTTGGAGGCCTCGTGCCTGCCGTGGGTGGACAAGTCCCCACTGCGGCCGGCCTCCTGGTAGGGAAGGAGAGGCCCCTGCCTGGCCTGCCGTACTCTGGGTCCCAGCCAGGCATGGCCCTGTCTCCTCGGGGACAGGCGGTTCCGGGCGCCGGCCATTTGCAGACTGGAAGTGAGCTCCAGGCCCAGGAGAGGAAATGGCGGCTGAGGCCGGCCCAGGGCAGGCGGGCTGCGGGAGGAGCAGCCAGAGGCCCCCGGGGGTGCTGGCCAGCAGGGCTGGTGGGCGCGTGCGCGTGCCTGAGGGGTGCACGAGCGCGCCTGCGTGCTGGGCTCGGGCCTCTGGGGAGGGCTGGCAGGCACATGGCGGGGGCTGCAGGGCTGACGGGAGGGCAGGAGCACCTGGCACACCTTTGCACCGAAGGCCCTGGGAAGCGCGGCACTCACTCCGAGGCCTCAGCCCCCTCCAGTTAGAACGGGTGGCCCTGTTGGCCGTGGGGGGTGGTCAGACGCACCCGGAGAGAGCCCGCCCAGGAGGACATAGCTGGTCTTCCCTTCTGTTCCCCTTGGGAAGAGGGTGGGGCCCGGGCTCTCAGGAGCTCCTTGCTCACCCCAGCCTCAGTTCCCCACCTGGGAAGGGAGAGTGATGACCTGCCCACGGGTCTCTCACAGGGTTAAAGGCGACGCCATTGCCTGGCGCTCCCCCAGAGGCCTGGGCAGCCCTCGATGGGACCATGGCGGGTGGGTGCTGGTCTCGGGGGCTCCAGCTTCTGAGTGGTAGTCTGGATGGGTGGGGGGTGGGGTGCAGCCTGTGCTCAGGAACCTCTGGCCCAGTTTCCTGGGAGCTGGGCCCCAACCCTGGATTCCTGCAGTGGGTGTGCCGGACTTCCGGCCCAGGCATGGGTGCAGGGCGGTGGGAGGCGCGAGCAGAGTTCCCGCCCTTCCACCCACCAGAGCCGCCTGGCTGTGCGCTGCTTTCGACTCGACGAAGTGAAGAGCCCACCTGAGCCCCGTGTTCGAGGTCCAGGTGAGTGGCCCCTGCCCACAAGCTAGGCCCAGGCGTGCACGATGCGTGGCGGGGGATTTCTCGGTGTGGACGGCCGTCCTCCGGCTTCAGCCTTTGTTGTGCACAAATGGCAAACCGTCCAACACCAACGCCAACACCTGTGGGGGCTCCCGGTGCCCGACGGGTGGGGGGCAGCAGGGGCCGTAGGCCTCAGCCCTGGGCACGTCTGCCCCAGAGGCGAGCTCTGCAGATGGGGCCACGTTCCAATGGCCAGGCAGCCTGGTAGGCCGCCGTGGCCACCGTGGTCAGTGTCCAGCTCCTGGGAGAGGGGTGAGGGAGACAGGGCAGGGCCAGCTGGGGCTCCTGTTTGGCCCAGGGGAGAGAGCTGGGGTCCCACCCAGCTTCCCCAAGGGAGGGTCGGTGCAGCTCACGTCTTGAAAATAACTCTCAGCTCCTTTGGGTTGGGGGTGCGGACTTTGTCGACTCTACTAAGTGCCAGGGCCAGGGACTGCAATCTGCTGTTTGAAACCCCCATTTTAAAACGGAATCTGCCCCGGTGCCATCCGCTCAGGGCCAGCAGCGCCTGCCGGGGCCGGAATGGCGCATGCATGGGGCAGCCTCATGGCGGGGGCCGCGTGGCGTGGGGGATGGGCAGTTTTTTGTGTGAGAAAACCGAGGCTCAGAGAGGCCAAGGAATATCCCCCGAGTCACACAGCTGGTGGGTGACTGCACCCACACCCAGGGTCCTGACTGCAGGGCCCCCCCCCCACGGCTGGGTGGGACAGACCACCCCCCCACACACCCCCGCCTCTTACGGGAGCTGACCTCAGCACATTTTCCCCAGACTCCCAGCAGGAGCAGGGGCCTGGCTTTTGGCCTGGAGTTTCCCTCCATCCTTCCTCTCCCGGGGGCCGTGTCATGCAGGTTTGGGGGGTCCCCGTATCCCGGGCCTGCTGGCTGGCTGATGAAGCCCCCAGGTCTTATCCCGGGCCTGCTGGCTGGCTGATGAAGCCCCCAGGTGCCTTTTGGGGGTGAGGGCTCCAGGCCTTTTTGGCTGTGAGTGCTGGCTGGCCCATGGACAGCGCACAGTGTGGCGGTGGGTGGTGGGAAAGACAGAGCCATGAGGTTGACTGATCTCAAAAAGTTCTCCGGAGAGTTTGTCATTTGCACACTGAGAATAAAAATCTTGGGAGCTTCAGAAAAAAACCAAACAGGCAAGGCCATCTGGCGCCCTCTAGTGTTCACAAAGGGGCCCAGGAGCGGGAGGGCCGGCGCCTGCCCTGTAGACCACAGCCTGGGCTTTTCCCGGGTTCTTCCGGAGGGGGACTTGCGGCAGACACCTCTCAGCATCAGAGGGGCACTGACCCCTCCCCGGGGAGCCGCTTACCTCCGGGCCGGTGGACCGGCCGGGAGCTTGTTGGTGCCCGAAGACCTCCGGTCCAAGTCTGGGGCTCAGTGGGAGGGGCTCCCTCAGATCAGGGCAGAACTGGGGTGCCCCGGTGCTGTGCCCATGGCAGGACAAGCCCATGTGAAACCAGCTGACTCTGGCAGTCGGTCGGGCCCGTGCTGGTCACCTGTGAGACCCCACTGTGGTGCTCACGTCCCTGACACCACGTGGTCCCTTAAGTCTCAGAATTGCTTGACGCCCACAGAACTCCCCTGGACACCTCTTGGAGAGGCTAGGAGCCCACTCTGGGCCGGCCTGGCTGGGGGACAGGAGGAGACTGCAGGGACTGACCGAGCAGACCTCCCAGAGGCTGGGTCTGTCCTGCGCTCACAGGCAGGGGGCCTCCCTCTGCAAACCAGGTCGACCTCGAGAGGGCTCAGGCCAAGATGGTGGCAGGTGGGGGCTGGGCCCAGGCCGGGGAAGCAGAAATGTCTCCCGTGCCAGCACGAGGCCCGGGAACCTGGGGAACTTCCTGGCAGTGGTGAACCCGCAGCCCCAGGCTCGCTCCCACGTGTAGTCCTGGGCCTGCCACGTCCCAGGCAGGGCCCGGGGCCCAGCGCGGCCCCTCCCGCCAGCCCTGCGCGGCCACAGCTGCTGCTGCAGCCTCCCAGAGACCTGCCTCCCAGCTCCATCCCCATGGAAACCCTGGGGGGGGTTCCCTCTGCATCTGGCTGCGGACTGGTTTCCACTAGAGCCAGCCTGCTTTCCTCAAGCCCTGCCCCTGAAGTTCAAGTGCCCCCTCCCCGGGTTTCTCCCCACACCTACTGAGCAGCAGCCTTCTGTACCCAGCAGCCTGGGTTCTGTTGAAGACTGTGGGACCTTCTTGTCCCAGGTCCCTGGGTGCGAAAGGTGAGGCTCTGCGGGCCCATCAGATGCCATTGATGGGTAGTTGCCCAGTCTGTTAATTCAGGTCAGACATTTCCAGTGCTCAAACATCCTGCACCATCTTGCCGCCATGTTGCAGTTCACGGGGACCCCCACATTCTTTGTCTATGATGAACAAAGGCATCGGAGCCCACCACCCTCCTGCAGGCCCGGCTCTGCCCTTGGCCTGCCATGGGACCTGTGGCCAGTCCCCACTCTGAGCCTCAGTTTCCCCACCTGTCCCAGAGTCCCTTTGGCCTCCACCTCTGATAGTTAGGGGGGGTCTCTGGAAAGTTCTGAGGGGCACGCTTGGAGCGGCCATGAGTGTACTCCTGGACTTTGAGCCGGGACCCTGCTCCTGGGAGTGTCCCCCGGGGGTGAGGAGAGGTCTGTGATGAAGAGGGAGGTGCTCGTCCAAACACCTTACAGACGTTAGGCTCTGGGAGCAGCCAGCCCCCTGCTGGAGTGAAGTGGTTGTGACACCGCCACCCGTGGGCTGACTCAGGGGTTCGCACTGTAGTGGGGGCTCCAGGACAGGCGGGCGCGGTGTCTGTGGTGGGCGGGCCTCCCGGTTGGTGGGGAGAGAACCATTTCTCAGGGCCCGCTTCCTCTGCAGTGGGGGAAGAATGGTTTACATTGCAAAGTCAACCACACGGCCAGTGTGAAACCGATGCCCCCCCAAAAGACAGCCTTTTACAAAAGGTGCAGGAGGTCACAGGAGGGGGGACAGGAGCACAGCAGCCATTTTAAAGGCGCAGGTTAGGTGGGGACGCTGTGAGGCTGGACTGCAGAGGAGTCTCACGGCTGTGGCTGTGGTGGCAGAGCAGAGCAGAGCCCGCCCTTGTCCCCACCGCTGCCCCAGGGTGGCGTCCGGAGGTGACATCTGGGAAGGGAACAACTTCGTCGCCGAGCTAGATCGGGCCCTGCTCTGCTGTTGCAGACGAACCCGACTCAGCAGCGCTCACGTGGCCCTGTCGGGAGCAGCTTCTCCTCTGGAGCCGACTCGGCGTCGGCCCAGTGCAGGGGGGTGCCCCCCCCCATTTCCTCCAGCGTCGCCTTTGTGTGGGGGGCGTGGAGGGTTCCTTTCTAAGTCGCCACACTGGGCCTCAGAGAGACCAGGTTCCTGAGTGCCACACAGCCTGGAAGGTTCTGCGACCTGCAGCGCGAGCTCCTCCCTGGACGGGCCGCTCTGCCCCAAGATGCCAAGTCCTTGGGGGTTTGAGCTTGCCTGCACCCTGTCCCCACTGGCTGCCATGGTAACCGCCCCCAAGTCCTCACCAGAGCCCTTCGGCCGGACGGTGCAGGGCGACGGGTGCGTGTCTGGCATGCAGGCTGCAGGCCGTGGCCGCCCCTAGTCTCTCCAGATGCCTCTGGGGCCCTCCTGACCTTGGTCCCCCAGCGCCAGGCCAGGCTTCAGCCCCTCCTTGGCCCCGGGCTGTGGCGGGAAGGGCGTTCTTCCTGTGCCTCATTCCTTGGAGAGGGGCCACGTCGAATGCCAGAGACAAGTGTGGACAAGTCAGGGCCGAGCCCTCGGGGGAGGCAGCTCCTGCTGGGCCTCAGAGCCTCTGGCGCCTGACCGGCCCTCCGCCGCGTCCACCCTGGCCCCAAGCCCGGGGGGGGGGGGTGTCAGGAATGGAATTTCCCCGGGCCCCAGGGCCCGAGCACGTTCTCACAGGTCCTCGGAGCCCCACCCAGCATGGAGCAGGCCTCGTGTCTTAACGTTGCACGTAGCCCCAAAGAGGTGTGGTCTCCTGCGTTACAGGTGAGGAGACCGAGGTCCGGAGAGGCGAGGGCCTTGTCCAGGGCCACAGGGGCAGCGCTGAGGTGTGAGCCCAGCAGCCGTGGGTCACCCGGCAGATGGATCCGGGAATGTCCTGTATTGCAGGGGTACTCGTGGGCAGGGGCAAGCAGGTCCAGCAGACCCCACCCCCAAACCTGCTTCTGGAACTTGGGGCGCTGTGCCCCAGAGGGACCCCAGTTTGGAGTTCACTAGTCAGGAGCCCTGGCCACTCCTCCCCCCAGCACCCTGTGCGGGCTGACCAGCCCAGGGCTCACGGAGGGCGCGGGAAGAAGGGCGCGGGAAGGGACGTGGCGCCCAGGCCCTGCCTCCCCCCGGTCGCCCTGCTCACTCTTGGCCTGGGCAGGGGTTGGACAAAGGACCGGCCTGCATTCCTCACCCCACCCGAGATTCCAGCCAAGGCCGAGTCAGACGCAGGACTGGCTTCGCCACACATGGCCATCGAGAGCCGTCCCTGCTTGGGGAGAGCCCAAGGCATGGTGTCCTCGCTCAGCCAGTCCCGGGTGTCCCCTCGTTGGCTTGTTCAGGAGAGATCCAGAGTCGCGTCTGCACCTCCTAAGTCCTAGGCTGTGGGCATTGTTCCAAGATGGGGGGGCACTTGCTGTCATCCTGCCACTGGGCACCCTGCTAGGTCGAGGGACACACACCTGTGTGTGAGAGGTGGTCCCTGCCACAGAGCCACCAGTCTTGGGGGGGACAGGCAGCAAGTTGATTTCGAGGGACCCCTGTAGGAGGTGCGGGCTCTGGGGGGCAGGCGCCCCAAGCCCTGTCAGCCCTCCCACCAAAGGTGTGTTCGAGGCTGGGCCACCAGAAGCCAGCAGCTAGGGCTGGTTTTGGGGACACATGTCCGGAGCAGAGCCCCAGACCGGCATTAGACAAGGCCTTTCAGTCTCTGCCTCCAAGTCAAGTTCTGACCCCAGGGCACTGGGGTGCCTGCGACCAAGGGCCGGCTGGCTGTCCCACCTGCCCTTGTGGGGGGCGAAGGAGAGGCCGGGTGGGCTGTGCCAGATGCCTGCACCAACAGGCCTGCGAGCTGACCCCTTGGTTGCCTTGTGTCTTGCAGGACTCGGCTCGTCCCAGAACACCCCCAAGAAAGTGCAGTCCATCGCGGTCTTCGACGGTGCCCAGGTAAGCTGGTCTGCACCCTGGATCTGGACAGGGAGTGACGCAGGGGGTGGGTGGCCTGGCCTGGCAGGGATTGTGGGCCCTCGTATCAGGAGACCCCAACACCAGCCCCATGCTTGCAGGCCCTGGCCCGCAGCCAGGTCCGGAGTGCCCTGAACCTCCATCCGCCTCCCTCCTGGGCACCTGCAGGAGCAGGAAGGGGAGACCAGAGCGGCTGGGAAGTGAGGCTCCGGCCTGGGGTCAGTCAGAACCCACCACTTGTGCGGGTGGAGCCCACACACATAGCCCTCTGGGTCCCACGGGCGGGAAGGGAGCCGGGGCACGGCGTGTCGGTTCACTGCATGTCTGTGTCCTGCCATGCTAAGACACGCAGAGCCTCAGCCTAGAGCAGTGTCCACGGTGCGGAAGGGCAGGAGTAAACGGCGGAGGGAACTGGGAAAGAGGGTGAGCCCAGAGCAGGCCTGGAGGGCGTGGCGGCCCGTGGAAGCCTCTCGGCTGCTGGTGGCGGCTTGTGGACTCAGCTCGGAGCTCCCTAGCAGCCAAGGCACAGAGGGAAAGACTGTCACTGGCAGGGAGCGATGTCCAGGGAGCACTGTGTTCGGCAGCGATGCTGAGAGACCCATCTGCTGCTGACACTCTCTCATGTCCCGCGTCCCCAGTGAGGCCAGGGTGGCAGGAGAGGGGGCGCTCTGCCGGGCTCGGCTCAGCTGCATGCCTCTCTCCACCTAAACAGGCACAGCTTGTGCTCCGAAGCCCAGAAAACCAAGGCTGAGTGTGGGCAGCGAGGACCCCCAGCCACCCCATCGGGCCTTGCTGAGCCTGACCTTGAAACTTTGTCACATCCTCGCAGCCAAAGCTGCTGCCAACCCCTGCCCCGTGGGGGGGGGAGTGACCCAAGAAAACAGGGGTGTTCCAGCCCCAGTGTTTGGGGTACAGAGTCACGTAGACCCAGCAGCTTCCTGGCTGCAGGGTCCCCTGAGACGCACCGGTGCCCCCAAGCTGTGCCCGCCTCGTGGGGTCCTCAGGCAGGGTGGGCCGGCCCTACAGGCACAGATGCAGGACATGTGCACCCCACACACTGGGGGGCGCCTTCCCGAGACCTAACCAGCACCCCTCTGTCCTTCCAGGTGTCAGCCCTTCTGTCCAGGCGCCTCGTTCCCAGGTGACTGATACCTGAAGCTTGGATGTCGCTGCCACCTCAGGTCAGTGCCGGGTTTGGAATGTTGAAAATCAGGGTTCCTGACTCTCTGCCTTCAGATGCTGGACATGGGCGCGCGCACGCGCACACACACTCACACACACACACACACACACACACACACACACACGTAACACGCAGGCCGCCATGCACGCAGCACGAGCTCAGCCAGGTCCACTTGGCCTCCTCCCCAGCTCCCGCTCCAGCCGGGGGCCCAGGACCTGCAAACAGGTCCGCCCCAGGTCGGCACGCTGACCGCCAGGAGTGGACGCAGGGGGCTGGGAAGAGGCTGGCTGTGGCCGGGGAGGGTTGATGGGGCAATTAGAGGCTCTTCGGGAGGTCGGCCTGGACAGGGGGCATCGCGGGCCAAGTGGGGACAGCGACTTCCTCTGTGGGCTGGTTTCTACCCCCTCGACATTGCTCTGCTCTAGGTCTGCCCGGACTCGGCCGGGGCCCAGAGAGGTCTCAGCGTGGGCGGGGCTCGGAGGGCCGTCAGGTCCAGCGGGTGTTGGCGGCCAGAGTGGGCGGCAGGCGTGAGGGGTGGCTGGTCAGCAGCCAGGTGGGAGCCTCAGGTTTCGAGAAATGGCTGGTGTGGGTGTGGCCAGGCTGCGGGGCTGGAGCCGCTTGGAATCGGGAGCGGCGTGACCCAGCATCCCTCAGCGGTCCTCCCAGAGTCCCCTCGGTGGCAGGTCGGAGGCTATTGAGGACCCTTCCCTGGGTCTGGGGAAGGGGAGCACCTTCATCCACAGGAGCCCAGGACGCCTCGTGTCTGCATTCATTCCATGCCCCCCAGCTGTAGCCAGAGCAGGTTGGGCCGCTGCCCTGGCCCGGAGCTCGTCCCCCCGCCACTCAGAGCCCCTCGGAGGGGGTGACGCTGCCTGTGGCACCGGAGGCCACTGGGAACTTGGGTGGGAGGAAGGTTCCAGAAAGGGCCCTGCCTGCCCGCCCCTCTCTCTGGCCAGGCCCTCCCAGGCCTCTGCTTCCAGAGTGGACACGCCTCCTTCCTGCGGCCGCGGGGCCCCCCCCACCGGCCGCCTTTGTCTCCCAGGGCTGCACAAAATGGCCGCCCGGCCTGCACCATCTTGTGTCCTGGACGCCGCCCAGCGCGGGCCCCCGCCCGGGACAGGCCGCCTGGGCTTGGCACCGGCCGCAGGTTGGCAGGTCGGCAGGGAGCCCCGGCCCCGAGCCCGGAGACGCTGTGACCCAGGGCCCAGCAGGGCTGGGGTGGAGGCCGTGCTGCCGGCGGGGGACCATTCTGGAAAGGACGTCTGCCCGGTGGGGGGGGAGCGGGGTCTCT